CTCCCGAAAAGCCATACTGGAGCACGAAGAGGAAAATGAGGTATCCCAGAAAGCCAAGTCTGTGAAATCAGTGATACTGTGTCTTGCAAGGATTGGGAAGAACCTCTTTGTTCTTTAAAGAATTTCTTGGGCTGGCGTGAATTAAAATGAATGAATTAGCTGCTTTGTTACACCCCAAGCACAGAAAGCCTGTGAAAACATCCAAACGAGTGTCGAAAAAGCAGTTGCTAGAGGGACCTGAAGGCTTGGCCATCCAATGCTTCCCTGGTTTCTCTGCCGGGCGGTGCAGCCTGCATGCTTGATTGTACTGTAAGTGCTGCCCTCTGTAGGGCAGATGCAGAACCGCAGAGAGGCCACTTGCAGGAACAAAATTGCTAGATGAGACAACACAAAGCTGGAAGGGTCACTCCTTGCCTTTTCTTTCTCCATCCTTCAGAGCCCTTTGTCTCTATTGCCTTTTTATCAGGGATCACAGCACTTCAGTGTGTTTGTAGGATAAGACCTCACAGCTGTCTTTAGCTCTTTGAGTCATACTTTTACTGGAAAAGCGTGACCTTAACCTCCACTCCAAATGCTCCTGTAAGAGCTGACCAACGGCTGAGAAAATTATTGGCTTAAAAAAAAAAATCTCATTTTACTTGCCAACACTGTTTGAAGAATGCATTGATTATGTTTCTCTCAGGGGATCTTTGGGCAGCTGTATTTTTTTAGATTGCCAGTCTTAGTAATTCTATGCTAAATTTTCATCCCCAGATGGATTTGAAGTAGATTAAAAGACATAGTTCTTATGTAGCCTAGAAAACTGTACAAAATACCAGTGCCAGTCCTTACCATAAAATTGGCTTGGGATGGACAAATTTGGTTTGGTGTGCCCATGTTCATAAGTGGAAGAATGGGTTTATCTTATCTATTCATGTGGAATACTATTTTCATTGCGTATATTAGATATACAGTTGACCCTTAAACAACACAGTTTGAACTGTGTGGGTCCACTTTCCTGTGGATGCTTTCCTATAGTAAGTACTACAGCACTACATGGGTCCAGAGTTGGCTGACTCCATGGGTGCAGAGGAACTGTGGAATTGGACAGCCGATTTACGATTTACATGTAAGATATACATGGATTAACCCCAGATGTTCAAGTGTCACCTGTAGTTTGATTTTGCCTTAAGTAGGATGTTTTTGAAATCTTCTATAAATTATAAACCAAATTCTTTCAAAGATCTCATGGAGTTTTTTTTTCTGAAATAAGTGGAAATGTAAAGCAGTTCTTGATATTTAAAGTCATCCTGAAATGAATCTTCTTGCAAATTGAAGAGCCCTTTCCTGTTACACCTCTTCATGTGTCAGTCTTACGTGTCTGATTAGATATCTATTAGATTTCATGAAAGTGATGAAAAGTGCATATGCACATACGTTCATACATTCACGCATATTTTTTAAATTTTGATCTCAAATAATTTACCACGTCTGATTCTGGAAGTTGAATATTTGATACAGATTTGATTCTCAGAATTGAAATAGTTGATACAAATTTAGAATCAGATTTTCAGGTGATTTTTTTGTTGGCGTTTACACACATGGAAATTTTAAAAATGAAATACTAGGGTAAGTGATACAGACTGTCACAAAGCAGGTGTGGGCAGAGCTGATACTCAGCCAGGAGTCTCCACGATGTTTTTGCTTATTTTGTTTTGTGTAGGCCTTGTGAAGATAGTCCCCAGCCTGGTTTGGGTGGAGTGTAGGGTTGCCTGGAGCTTTCCAACCTTCCTAAGCCTCAGGGAGATGTTAATCTCGCCCAGTCCTGAGGGTCCTTGATTTGGTCCTGTCCAAAGCATCCATAAGACATTTGGTCCAGACCAAAGGGTCCTCGATATTTGATCCTCTCCAAAACCACTTGTCAGGGACCAAATATACTCATGTATGTTTTGGATGGGACCAAATTTCAAGAACCTTTTGGCGTGAACCAAATGTCTTATGGACATTTTGGACAGGACCGAATGTCTGCTAACCTTGCGGGCCACCAGGTGGGGCCTGCAGTGCAATCCGGCGCCGGTTGCTTCTAGCTGTGAGCAGCCTGGCTGGGGCTCCACACCCCTTCCAGGCTATCCGTGTGTCAGACAAATGTCATCATTTTCTGGATGGCATGTGTCCTGATGTGAAAATGTTTGGGGACACTGATAGCCTGCAGTCAAGGGCTCTGGTCCTGAATATCAGAGGCAGCCATCACCATGGTTGACGGACCATGGTACACTCGGGCACAAGGAACCCAGGAATATTTATTGCCCACTTGTTCTCTGTGAAGGCCAGGCCACTGTAGACAGGCTTCTTGCCAGTTTACAAGAGCATCTTTTCATCTTGGGCTTGGGGGAAGTCCAGCCCCACACTGTATAGGTGATGAGGGGATAACGTGGCCCTAGGAATAGGGTGGGCAAAAGCAGGACATCTTTTCGCCAGTGGATACATTAACCGAATTCTTTGTACCTTAAAGTCTCAGCCCACTCCCAGCTAGTCTATTTCTTTGTCACATGAAATGTAATAATGTGTTTAGACAAATTGCCTTCCATCTAGAGATGAACTAGCATAGAAAGTTTTTCACAAGTAATTATTATCTTGAGTCATCAGTTTTTACTTTATTGAATTGCATTCATTTCTGACACGGTACACAAGACATTATCTTGAGAACAGACAGAGTCATCTCATTTAAGCTGCTAGGCCACCTGTACTCTTTCTAGAACAGGTTGCCTTGTTTTGAACGTATGATTGGGGAAATTGGATGTTTGAAGTTCTGGGTTTCCCTTTCGTCCCTCTGCTGATACATTGAAACTCCCCATTTGATTTTTCACAAGCTCACTCAACATATGATAAAAATAATTTTGGGCGGTAAGTTCCGTAGTATCTGCCCAACTTTTAGAATCTTTTTTTTAAAGTGTGAAAATCATAGCATAACATTTCTAAAAAATTTGAGAACTGTTGGTTTCTGAGGAATTTTCAGAGCCATAAGGTGCCTTGGTCTAACATACTGTCAAATGAAAATGTGAGGCCTTAGGTAGTTGCTTTCTCTACCTCATTTAAATGATTTTCATTAAGAAGAGTTTTGTGGAGGTTTTGTTATTGCTACCTTTTGAGTTGTCGTGACCACAGCTCCAACATTAGCGTAACAGTGCCCACCGAAATACATATTAAACATATTTTAAAGGCTATGTATTTGCCACACACACACACACACACACACATATGATTTTTATGGTCTTGCTTGGTGCCTTGTCACTAAGTTTCACATACTCATGTCCTTTGTAAAGCTTTGAAAATAAGCATTTATGTTGGGGATAAGGTTAACAGAATTAAATGAATTAATATTAGGCCCTTTCTCATGGGGATTTCCTTATTTAAATCCTACATCTTCTCTGTGAAGGAAATGTCACACCCAGTTTACAGATGAGGTCATTGAGGCGGGGAGACATAACTTGTTCTAACTTGTTCTAAAAGTAAGGGAATCAAGATATACCCCTGCCCCGAGAGAACCAGTATGTCTTAGAGAGTGCACCACCTTTCCTCCCTAAACAGATTTTGCTCTGGGAAGATGGTTTGAATAGCTTGCAAAATAATAATGGCAAGTACTATACTATACCCAGTGACCCTTCTGTTTTTTTTTCTGGCTTGAGAAATGGGGTCCCACTGGTCTGGAGGACTGATTCACCTTACTTATCAGTACCTCAGCCCAGTTGTCCAGCCTCTCTCCGGAAGCCTGTTAAATTGTTCTCTTCTGGTCTTAACCCCAGGAAGAAGATGAAGTGCCCGACGATGAGACTCTGAACCAAATGATCGCTCGACGAGAGGAGGAATTTGATCTTTTTATGGTAACGTTACAGAAAATCATGGAAACAAATGCCTCATTCCTCTCCCTCCTTTTCTGTTAAACACAAGATGTCTGGGGCCTGTGTGCCCTGGCCAAATTTCATTTGTGAAGCCTGGGCTTTTCCTTCAGTTCAGAGCCTGCAAATTGCCTGGCTTTAGCCTGCAGACATATTTTGTTTGGCCCATGCCATGTCTTTTTTAAAAATTTCGAATCTGTTGCCAACGCAAAAAGAATCCTGATTTCTGGCTTCTCGTGAAAACTGAACATAGGCAGTGATACCAGGCCCACATCTCTCTAAGGAAGCGTTTGGCTAGGGCTTCGCAGCAGCTGTGTCCTCAGGACAGGCCATGTGGTCTACAGCCTACCACAGACAAACCCCCCCCCCCCCCCCCCGCCCACTTCCAGCTCATTTCTGATCCTGGCCAGCATCCTTCAGGAAACCTGCCCTGCTCCTCTAGCTAGAGTTCACAGCTATTCCCTAGCTGTCTCCTTAGCGATCAAGACAAATATGCTCCCTGGGGGCGCGGCAGGGGGCGGCGAGCAGCTAAAATGACATCCTCCTGCCTCTTGTTATTGTTGAAGAGAGCCTGCTTAAGCAACCTTCCAGATGTGCATCAAGGTGTAGACTTCACTTAAAGATCAAAACCGGTTGCATTTCACTGGTACAAAGCAGATGCAAAAGAACCTTGACATTTGACCGTTTAACATCCATGGTTTCAACCTTGACGTTCCAAGATACGTAGTCATCTGCAATTTTGCTGAAACCGAATTTGATTATGTGTGTGGCCTGCCGCAAGGTCAGTAGGGAAGGGAGCAACCCCCTTGGCTGGTGAGGGAGGCCCTCAGAAGTCACATTTGACTGTGTTCTTAAGGCATTTGCTGTAGTTATTTATCTCTGTATGCACAACACTCAGAACAGTTTCTGGTACATAGTAGTTGCTTAATAAATATTTATTGAACAAATGGTGGCATTTGCAAAATTTCGGGCCTTGTGAGGGTGTCAGCATAGGTCAGGATGTATAAAGTTGCAAGGCTCCCCCCAGTACCTTCAGTCATTTTGATTTTTCTAACATTTAGCCTGACCGTGGAGTGAGTAAATAAATGTGAACTGTAACTCTGGTGGTCGAATGCTGCAGAACCCCCAAATCAGAGGTCCCAAATTTGAAGCCCCCAGGTCTCAGACAAGTGATTTGCACGAGTGAAGCAAGTGGACAGGGGTGAGGGGATGGTGGTGAACGGTGAATGGGAGTTGCTTTGTCTCGGGGGGACAGAGCTGCAAGCCCCACGTAGCCAGAAATTCCAAATTTTCAAGAGAAGCTGGAAAGTGAGGTTTTTATATTCAGTCTCCGGATTTCAAAATGTTTGCAACTCAATTCAGTTTTTTATTAGTATTTAACACTTCAAGCCAAACAAAATACGACCCTGGGCCAAATAGGACCCACAGGGTTTGCATTTTCCACCTCTTTAGCCTAGGCAGTCTGAGAAGGGAACCCCAGCTGCATGGAGGCTGACGTTATTTTTGTGGTTTTGTGACTTTGGGGAACAATGATTGTGCTCACACACAGTGATTCAAGATAAAGGACATTTAATTCTTTCTCTGGAAACTTTTAGGTAGCCATGGGAATAAGTCCTACCCTGGGATGTGCACTTTTTTCCCCTCCTAAATGACCCATCCTACCCAGCTAAGGCCATTTTGAAGAGAAATGACAGAAAAACGACTTTACCAGCATGTTCAACCTGGGGTGTTCATAAAACCTAAATTTCTTAACGCATACTGCCGATCACCACCTTTATAGATTATTCTGTGTTTGGGGAGATTAGAGATACACGTAGGAAATAGACATCTTATCTCTCTTTGAGGAACTTATTAAAATGTAGATTACGAGGGAACACCGAGGCAAGAGGCCCTCAGCTTCCTTGGCTGATCACTGATTGGCAATAATTCAGCACTGCTGTAGCCTCAGATACTCTTGAGGCCCTTGGAAAGGATAAGCTGTCTGCCATTATACAAATTAGATTAGGCCCAGAGATGGAGATTTCCATCAGCAGTCCTGAAATAAGAGAAAAAGAGTACTTCTCTTTTCTGCCTTTCCGGCTGGGTATTTGTAGAAATTGAAAGCCTCAGGGGAAAAAAATTGGATGTCTGTGGCCAAGGCACAGTCTTCTTTGAATTTGGGAATATCAGGCTTGGAACAGGTGAAGCTGGTTAGGGAATACTTCTCTGTAGGCGTTTTGATTTTGTGAATGTTGTGCTTGTTTCTTAGAGGTTGGCTTCTCATTTCTGGATGATACAGATTTTCCGTTCACTTTGGTTTGGTTTGCTTTGTGTTGGTTTTTTTAAAATCTTCTAATCAGCCGGCTTGCCTTTGGCCAATTCACTATTCATTAGCACCTCCACCAGGGGGCAGGAAATCAAATTGAATCCTTGCCAGTTCAGTCAGATTAAAAACTGTAGTGAGAAACAAGAATGGAATGTGAGCTAGATTTGGAGTTCGAATATTTAAACTCTTTATCCACTGTTAGAAAAACAAAAAGCTAGCTCCCTATGTAAAATTAATACAGACGTGTTATTTGATTTTATATCATAGGCACTGTAGTTAAATAACACACATTAAGCAGATAGTCTCTTTAAAATAAAACCTTTCTTTCGAACATTTTTCTTATTTTCTCCTTTTAAAAAATGTGACTTCAGAAAGTTACCTCTTGTACGGATTACCTATGAATTCTACCTGAAAGAGATCTTTGACAGGTCAAGATACATGTCTGAAACATTTTGCTAACTTACGAACATGAAGCTTTCAAGCCGCCCTGCTCCCTCCAAAGGCAACAAGTACTTTTAAAAGTAATTGTAATCGTTCGCATAAGGTTATTGGGTCTTAAGACAAACATATTCATGTAGTATATGAATAATTAATTAGGCTTAGTTGAATATCAACTTCAAATTTTGTCCTGGTCTTCTGCAAGCAGAAATCTCTGGGAAGAGATACAATCATGAGAACTTTAAGCTTATTAAAAATTGCATCAGAAAAATTTTGGGGGGGGGGGCTTTCCTAAAAAAAAAAAAAAAAAAAAAGGGCAATTTATTTTTCTTCTT